CCTGCAGCATCATTAATTAGTCCACAAAACTGGAATTTCAAAGAAATTGCAAGGACTAGCCAACTAATTCTATGCTTACAGCATCATTTAACTCAAGTTAGAGATTTCTTTGTGGAAAGAGAAGTAGAGTAAGAGCGCAGTGATGGCCAGTTATAAAAGGCAAGCATTCAAAACATTTCACGTAAAAGGAAAACAGTTTGATCTCTTACCTATCAGACCTTTCTCAAGAGTAAAAGTTTTGTTCGTGAACATGCATTCAAATGCCACAATATGGAAAACTTTGTTCACTGTGTTGTGGGTCCCAACAATTCGAATATATCTACGGGGAAGAAAAAAAAAAAAAAAAGGTAAGTAGCATAAGTTAAGCATTACAAACTTCTATGCACTAAACCAGAAATTATTCAGACTATATTGTGCAGACCTGTAAGAACTAATGAACTAAAAAAAAGAAAATTAAAAATAAAAAAAATAAAAGGAGTAAAAAGAGTGTAAGTTTCACAGCAAACTTGCACCTAGTTTCTGGTTCCAGTACAATTTAAGACAAAAAACCCCAGAAAACTAAACAAAACAAAAAAGACCTGTGAAATCTATTAAAAATCCTTCTGGACTAATTTGCCAAGAAAGAAAAATGAGGGACCTTCTGGTTCAGAAATGTTCTGTTAGAGCAAATGTATGCTCACGAAGACTTTAAATAATAATAATAATACCCTTTACCAACTACTTTTCACCACAATGAAAGCTTTCATACAGCCAGGACAAACCCAACAAATCAGTGAGACTCCTCTGTAGAGACCAAAAGTTAATTCCACTTTAATATGACTTCTAATTCTAACATGGGATGTACAGGATATCAATGTCTTTGTTGGTGTATCTTTTACTAAAACAAAAAAAAATCTGAACAGTCAAATGTTATGAAACAAAGCTAGATCTGGATTTAACTCTTGATTGTATAACTTATACTTCTAGACTCTAACTGAAAATCAAATAGAGCTGCTCTTGAAACTGTGACCTATAAACCTTCTTTATTACCCTGGAGGCTTCACCTTCTATAAACAGTCATTAACCTCGATTCAGTCAGATTCTCTCATTTTCTGAAGAGATCCCACAGTTCTTACTACAAATTTTGAAAAATCCTAAATGGACTATTTTACATGTCAATAAATGCTGAGCAAGCAACACAAAAAACTACCTAAAACAAATACCATTCCCCTACAAAATGGCTTACCCACACTGCAGAAAGCTTTGTATTAAATGAACTCATTTCAGTTAAGAAGTATCTGAATGTATGAATCTTAGGCAATATCAGTCTGCCATGTAAAACAACCTTTCACTTATGCAGTATAATTATAAATCCAACATAATGGCCATTCACCAACAGCATCATTTTGGCTTGTGTTCTTCATCATACCAAGTCAAAAAGATACACAGCTTCAAGAAACTGCTTCATAATTAGCTTTAAAAGCTGATTTATTTAGATATTTGTGTTATGAAACTGTAACACTAGAGCAAACTTCTTGATTGGTTTTGGCTTTTTGTTGTTGTTTGTTTGGGTTTTTAAGATACCAAAGAAGGTGAAAGACACACAAGACTTCAATAGTTTTCCATGGAAAGAACATCTTTATCATACTGTACACTTAGGTTAAATAACATATCATTCACTGGTTAGCAAAATTCTCTGTCAACAGGTAGAAAGGAACAAAGCTTATTCTTGTATGCTAAATAGCCTACAAGTTATTTTGAACAATAGGTGACAATGTTTCACATTGCTGGAAAGATGAAATTTTGTGGTAATGTAAAACAAAATCCCACTCATCAAAATAATCATTTATACATTGATCTTCTAAAGTATATTATTTAGATGTTGTAAAATTATTGCAAGGTAGAATATAATGATATGACAAATCCCATCCTTTCTCCCCAACACAATCACAGAATGGTAGGGGTTTCAAGGGACCCCTGGAGATCATCTAGTCCAACCCCCCTGCCAAAGCAGGTTCACCTAGAGCAGGTTGCACAGGAAAGCGTCCAGGTGGGTTTTGAGTATCTCCAGAGAAGGAGACTCCACAACTTCCCTGGGCAGCAGTTCCAGTGCTCTGTCACCCTCACAGTGAAGAAGTTTCTCCTCATGTTTAAGTGGAATCTCCTGTGTTCCAGCTTGTGCCCACTGCCCCTTGTCCTATTGCTGGCCACCACTGAAAAGAGTCTGGCCCCATCTTCTTGACATCTGCCCTTTAGATATTTATAAACATTAACAAAGTCCTCTCTCAGTCTTCTCTTGGCTAAACAGACCCAGCTCTTTCACTCCTTCCTCTATCAAGGTGAATGATCTTCTGCCTGAACCTTGCATTATTCCACTTGGTGGAAGTTAAAATAATGCAATCTTCAAAATGACTTTAAACATCTTAATGTCTAAAATCACATTCTCAGATTTTGCATAAAAACTGTTGCTTATTATTCCACTTGGTGCAAGATACTAAAGCCATCACAGTCTGAGACTGCAAAGATAATCTTCCTTCAAGCAAGGCAAAATGCATTGGAAATGTCCAGTACTGCTAGGTAAACAAGCTGTATCTGAATTTCAAATATCACCAAGAGTGATATTGAAGGTACATAACCTGTTTCAAGAGAGTCAGATGAAGACATTGTAAATGCTGAAGTAGTACATCTTAATGAGAAGAACCCTAAACAATGGGCTGAAAATAAAGAGTTGTCTCAGAAATATGATAGTGAGGAAAAATGCAATGTGGACAAATTCAGTATGAGCAATTAAGGCTTAATTCAAAGTAGAGATATTTCAGAAATTTAAAATGCCTGCTATAGCTCATGACACGCACAAAAATTTTCCTAAGCAGTTTTCTGCCAGACTGGAAAGCAACTGCATCATGATTAAAACTAAAAGTATCCTTCGAGCAATCAGACTATGTGTACCATCTCATCATTTTCCTGGAGCAATTTGTTAGCTGGAATATAAGAATACAGGTAAAAAAAATTAATATGAACATTTTTTCAGCACATGCAATTTCGACAAATGCTTAAAATGCATGGAACGTGTTTTATGTGATCACTCACTAAATTTTAAAAATATACTCTAGTGTTTTTGGCTAGGATAGAGTTAAATTTCTTCACAGTACCTTGTAAGGTGCTGCATTTGTATCTGTGCTGAAAACAGCGTTGATAGCACTGGGATGTTCTGGTTACTGTGGAGCAGTGCTTGCACAGCGTCAAGGCCTCTTCTGCTTCTCAACCTGCCCCGCCAGCAAGGAGTCTGGGGGTGCACAAGAAGTCGGGAGGGGGACACAGCCAGGACAGATGACCCCAACTGACCAGCGGGATATTCCCTGCCAGGAAAGGAGGATGTTTGGAGTGATGGTGTTTGTCTTCCCACGTAACTGTTAGGCGTGATGGAGCCCTGCTTTCCGGGAGATGGCTGACCCCCTGCCTGCCAATGGGAAGCACTGAATGAATTCCTTGTCTTGTTTTGCTTTACTTGCACATGCAGCTTCTGCTTTACCTATGAAACTGTCTTTATCTCAACCCACAAGTTTTTGGGCTTTTACCTTCCGATTCTCCCTCCCGTCCCACCCGGGGGAGGGCGGTGTGAGCTGAGCCCACAACACTGTGATACTGCAGAGCGGCAGCAGGGAAGGGCCTCTGACTTTGCTAACAGGCCTAAGACACAGACAGCTGAGAATTAAGCACCATAAAAATCAAACAGCTTTCTGGTTCCCGCAAGCAAACCTGCATCAAGTAGCAAGAGTAGATAATCAAGATCTGTAGATAATCAAGTAACATGGACAGAGAGGAGACCAGTGAGCAGGCTCTCTGTGCAACTGTCCACAGCAAGCTAGGAAGAAAGTGCTCAGGCCTTCTCTCCATCAAGGGTCGGCAGATTCTCCTGTGAACTTGGACTGCAAAGCTGGGACTCTTTTCTGAGGAACTGCTGTGAATACTGCTGCTGATAATGCCTCTTTATATAATGATCTGTTCTTTAAGGCATTTCCTCAGAAAGAGATTGAAGTTCAATGCCCTTTTTTTAAAAAGGACTTCAAATCTAAGGAGAGGTCCCTACTGACAGGCAGCCAGGCTAGACTGACACAGCGTCCTCTGCTGCTGTACTACACATGGCAGCCAAGGTGTGAGACCACTTGCTGAGTCAGAGCAAAATACCCAACAGCTCCGCACTCAGGAACCACAGTTCAAGTCCTATACACTAAAAAAGTTATAGGTTGAACTCCTTCCTCCCTCTAAAGGCTCTTGTTATGAAATGACTGTAAGACATCATCATGAGATCAAAGGATACTTAGGACTGCAGGAGTGAGCAATTTCAGTAACCCTGTATCTTTTAGAGCCCAACTTTGGAAGTTGAACTGCCTTAATATTTGCTTTCTATTTACATATTTATATAAAAAATACATCCCATAAGAAAACAAATGAATCTTGGTTAACTTAAGTATTTTTTTGCTCGCAACTAAGGGAATAAGAAACAAGCGATTGCGGGACTGGATGTGCTGGGGTAACTTATCCACTCTCTGTGCCCTCTGTATGCTACAAACAACGAATAAACCCATATGGAAATAAAACTTTAACTGCATAATAAAACATTTTATTTGATCTAGATTATTTTAGATACTTAAGAATAAGGTCAACATTTGCATAGTTTTGCAATTACTTTTCACCTATTCAAGTAGTGACAACAAATACATCCACCTCTAAGATGCGTGGTATTCTCCCACCTCCAACACTACATGCTTGCAACTATTGTAGTCCTCTGAAGTAGAAAAAACAGAGGAAACAAACTAAAGATCTTATTTTTAATAGATGACATTTCCTGAAATACAATACAGGTATCTTTTATGCTGATTAAACTGACACAAATGTGTATACTAATTATTTTCAATAGTCATACAAGACTCATTTTCTACAAGTGCTTGGCAAGCATGTCATTAATTAAAAAGGACCACTGACCAGACTTACTTGTGTATGCTGAATTACAAGATACTTTAAGAGCTCTAATTACCACAAGGTGAAGGGGGAAAAAATAGCAGAAAGTCCAAACCCTAAATGAACAAAAAGCTTTAAAGCACTTTGTTAGTGGGTGACGCAAGCTTGGGCAAACCTGATTAAGCTGAGACATAGGAATGATGAAGAATTAACTGTATAACCAAAACTCTGGTGCCAAACTATGAATTTCAATTATATTGCTCACTGAGGAAGAGACATGGCAGACGAAGGACAGACATTAAAAACACTAGAGGTAGTTTTTCCAGTGAAATTAGAAATTGTTCACTGTCCTGTCAGGAACAAAGCAGCTTTATACAA